CACGCACACACACACACGCGCGCGCGCACACACACACACACACACACACACACACACACTCACTCACACACGTTGCTGGATATAGTCCTGCACTGATAGTTTGAGGACACTAGATGGCGATATGAGTGCATCAAATAACAAGCACATCCTTGATAGGTCCAGCATGAAAATCCCAATGATTGAGGCCAGAGTAGGTTAATACATTAGTTAAAGAAACAAAGTTAAATATAATCAGGTGTTGGAGTGTTAGCTAATACTCTGAATGTGTTCAGTAACCTGATTCTTAGGGAAAGAAAAGAGTGTTAAATTAGAAATTATTTTATGCTACTGCTGAGTCTATCTTCAGGTTAATTCTTGGGGCAAGAGCTGGCAATAAACCCATGTATCCCATAAAATGTATCTAATTCACACTTTTCGCTCCATTTTTTGGTTTTCATCTTTTAAAAATAGCAGTTGTTTGGAATGGAGTGTGCCCCACATATATTATTCATAGATGAAGTACTACATTCTCATTAGGAATGTGAGTCCTAAGACATTGGTGTTTGAAAGGGGAAATGGCTGACTTACTGTAAGCTGTTGGCTGGGCCATTATTGACTGGCAGGATCAACTGGAAGCACTTTGTTAGTGGATTAGGTTGCCCTGGAAATGCCTTCCTGAAACTCTAATGATGCACTTAAGGGAACCCTCTGGGACAGGAGTAAAATGTCTCCTTGCAGGCGTGTCTTCCACCAGAGTCCTCTTGGGATGAGACGGGAGCGGGCGGGGGCACATCCAGAGACAAGCTCCGTAAGGAAACAGACCCAGAAAAAAGTTGCAGGTAATGATGTCTTACATGGAAGCCAAGATAATGACTTAACTGGTAGAAGCCCTGTTTTTCTCTGAGGGTACCAGTGCTTCCTATAGTCTTGTGAAGGAGCATCAGTAATTTCAGAGAGACTGAAGGTATGGATGTATATATTCATTATTTATTTATTTGCTGGGGTGAGGGTGGCAGAGGAATGGAGAAAAAGGAAAACAAAACAAAACAAAAACANCGCGCCGCGGCGGCCGCCCGCTCCCACCTGGCTGGGAACATGGGAGCCCGCTTGCCCTTGCCGGCAGGTGGGGTGGCTACCTGGGACCCCAGCAGGGCGCATCTGTCTTGCTTCTGGGCTTTCTGAAAAGCTTCTAAGTCCCGGTACCTCTTGCAACTCTCTTCTGTTTTAAGGATTCTTTCCAAAGGTTTGATTTTTTTTTTTCTTCCTGGAGAAGCTTTGAATGTTTTTCTCTGCTTTGCTTCTTCAATCCAACCACCTCTAGTCACGGTTTAACTTTTTTGTGACTTGTTTTAACTTGAGATTGGGAGTGAATATATACATACATATACACAAATATACATTTATATAAATATTTATATATATATATATAATTATTATTTTCTAAGAGCACATCTCTCTGGCACTTTTCATTGATACCTCTGTATTTTACCTGTTTGGGATTTTGACAAGCTCCAGACTCTGTGTGTGGCTGGGGATTGACTGCTTTGCAAATGGGTATTTCTTCACAAGAACTGTTTCCAGCACTCACTGAGGTAAGTTCCAGTGCTTATTGCTTTTCCTCTCCAGCTGGGGAAAGAAAATAAATCTCCTTTTAGAAGTTGAAAATTGCATATTCGTTTTTAATGCAGAAATCAAATAGAAATGTTTTTAATACTAAATGCTGGAGACAGAGGTTTATAGATAAAAATGTAGACACGAAATACCTTGAGAGAAGCTATGATTTAGTTGAAGAATGGCTGAAATCAGTAATTCCAGGGCTGCTTATGTAAAATAATCTCTCCCTCCCTCCCTTTCGGTTTCCCTCCCTCCTTCTACCTCCCTCTCCTCTCTCCAGCAGTCTCTTTTTTTCTGACTCATGCTGTGTTTGAGGAAATAATTTTCTCTCTTTTCCTGCAGACAGACCTCTCAGTAACTGGGGACCTGGCCGGCCTTGCCTACTGAGCTTGGGGGAAAACTGGATGCAGATGAGTTGATTATATTTCATGAAGTCATAGCTCACCACCTGCCAGGGTTTAAACTACTTCTGTAGCATCACTTCACCTGTGGACTCTTTGAAATTTTGCTTTGTTGGGGGAAAAAAAAAACTGGGGTAAGAGGAGGTTGTTTTTAACAAGTTAGCATCCTCTCCTTCCCTTATAAGTTGCTGCAAAGGATCAGGCTGTGACTCCATTGGATCGCTCCTTCACATCAAAATAGGAGAAGAAAAAGAAGAAAGGTACCATGGCTCTGAGTGGCAACTGTAGTCGTTATTATGCTCGAGAACAAGGGGCTGCAGTTCCCAACTCCTTCCCCGAGGTCGTGGAGCTGAATGTTGGGGGTCAAGTTTATTTTACTCGCCATTCCACATTAATAAGCATCCCTCATTCCCTCCTGTGGAAAATGTTTTCCCCAAAGAGAGACACAGCTAACGACCTAGCCAAGGACTCCAAGGGAAGGTTTTTCATTGACAGAGATGGATTCTTGTTCCGTTATATTCTGGACTATCTCAGGGACAGGCAGGTGGTCCTGCCTGATCACTTTCCAGAAAGGGGAAGACTGAAAAGAGAAGCTGAGTACTTCCAGCTCCCAGACTTGGTCAAACTCCTGACCCCCGATGAAATCAAGCAAAGCCCAGATGAATTCTGCCACAGCGACTTTGAAGATGTCTCCCAAGGAAGTGACACGAGAATCTGCCCCCCTTCCTCACTGCTCCCTGCTGACCGCAAGTGGGGTTTTATTACTGTGGGTTACAGGGGGTCCTGCACCATGGGCAGAGAGGGGCAGGCGGATGCCAAGTTTCGGAGAGTTCCCCGGATTTTGGTTTGTGGAAGGATTTCCTTGGCGAAGGAGGTCTTTGGAGAAACTTTGAATGAGAGCAGAGACCCTGACCGAGCCCCAGAAAGATACACGTCCAGATTTTATCTCAAATTCAGGCATCTGGAAAGGGCTTTTGATATGTTGTCAGAATGTGGATTCCACATGGTGGCCTGCAACTCCTCAGTGACAGCATCTTTCGTCAACCAATATACAGATGACAAGATCTGGTCAAGTTATACTGAGTACGTCTTCTACCGTAAGTACAGAGCGTTCTTGCTGTTTTTCATGTGTATGGATTTGTTTAACAGATATACATACATGTATATATGGTCTGCATGTTCAGTCTATGTCTAAGGAATGCTGTTTTGGGATTTTCATTTTTTTTTTTTGGCTCTTGCGGTATAGCTAGGGGATTAGAGATTATAATCAGCTTTCATGTTTTACCTAAGGTAACTTTTGTTTTTCCAGCCAACTCACAGAATATTTAAAGGCCTCAGAAATCACAGGATACAGATGATATTGGTATAGGTAATATGTGGAATGAAAATAGACATGTGTGTCTGTCTGTCAGATATTGAACTGTGAAGATAAAGCAATGATGAGAACTTGGCTGTTGGGTCACAGGAGCCTGGTAGACGCAGAGTGGCTGAAGTGCTGCTGACTGTTTGTTGTCTTATCTGAACTTTGGGTCTATTAAGCTGGTTTCTGAAGACTGGCTTTTATCAGGGACGTTGAAAGCAAAATGGATGTTGCACTGGATGACGTGATCTTGGCTAGATGGCAGTACAGACTGATGAAAGACCCCTTCCCACCCCTGCCCCCACCCCCGCCAGACCCCAAGTCTGAAATTTGCCTGCCTAGGCTTTCACGAATTTGTGATTTGATTCCTTAACAATTTGTACTGAGATTTGACTTGCACTGCAGACTTAATTAAGCTGAGCTGCATTTAGGATTCACCCAAAAGGAATGAATCCCTGAGAATTGTCAATCACACACAGTCAGCTTCAGACAACTGACGTGATAGAATCACTGGCATAAAAGGAAACCAGAAGAGAAAAAAGAAGAAAGGAAACGATTGTACTGAAGCCTTTATAGTAAGAATTTCTTAGAATCAGTCCAGTTGTTAAAATGACAATTTACTGTACAGAATGCCTTATTTTAAGAATTACTCTAAGTTAACCATAAGCCATTGATCTCTGGGAGGAAAACAATCAGTCTGTAAAGTTCAGTGCTTGATGAACTGCTGATTGTCAACAGGTCTGGGAGCTGGGTGAAGTGAATTTCATGAGAAATATGTTTCCAGTTTTCCCCTATTCTTATTTTAAGGCAAATCCATACATTTTGAGGATTAAAGTATCTAAATGTCTCTACACATTAAGGTGTGACTGAATCTGTTGGACTGAGTTTTGCCTACAGTTGTGTTTATTCCTTTGGAGATGATGTTGGGAGCTTTGGTGACAAGGCCTGTGGGAAGCTGAGTTGTTCTGTACTGGGTTTCCACAGATTTGGTTTTTAGAAGTGAAGACACATGGATTGTATAGAAAGAACAGCCTGCGGAGAAAAGTGGAATCAGCTAGCAGTTCAGTCGCATTCTGATGTTCTGTAACAAGCATTATTTGGTCCAATACCCCTATCTATGGCTTTTATCTATAATCTATACCTTTCTCTGTGTTGGGGCTTAGTGGCCAGATTCTGCTTTCTTCCTTCTAGTGAGTTTTCCATTAGTGTAGAGATAAAGCTTTAGCTTTTTGGCTTTCTATAAAGGAATATGACAATATCTGTGATTCTGTAGAATAGACATCTTCTAACTTGGAAAAAAAATGAATCGTTGAATTTAAATCTAGGTTTGTGATATTTACCTTGTTCCCCAATTTCTAATATTTGATAACGGCCTCTTAAGAAACTTTAGTCAAACAGAAGAAAGCATATCAGTCATACCCCCTCAAAAAGACCACACTTGATTCCAATCACTTGCTCATCTAAATGAGACTTAGAGCTTGAGTTGCCTGCTAGTTCAGTGACATTTCTGTGTTTATCAAGGGCTCATCTGTATAATACTAAGCCCTCTGTAGACTGCTCCAGACAGACTCTGTTCTCTAATCATATAATCACTTCCTTTTTTTGTTGGATTGCTGAGAGGATGCCAAGGAGCAGGTTGCTCTTCATTACGCCATGGACAGACTAGCACAAATATGCAACAACTTCATAATGCACAGCGGATATACTGCATATGATATACTTGCTCTTTGTACCTAACAACCAGAGCTAAGTGTTAACTCTTCCTCAGTCTCCGGATCAATAAAGCTGACAGCTGGCTTTCTAGGGTGCATGACAGCTTCCGTGCAGCTGCTTAGCCATAATTATTTAATTAGAAGCTGCCAACTGTGCCTCTATAAGCATTAATTCATCAAGCTGTTGTGCTTGGGTTAATGGGCCAAAACTCTGGGAGGTGCTCTAAAGCAGGGAATTGCCTGTATGCAAAGATGCCCCAAGCCCCACCAATCAACCAGTCGCCAGCCCTGATCCACTGCATGCATTGCAGAGGGCGTGGAGCCCAGAAACCACTGCCTGCCTGCCATCCAGGTTTGAAGGGCAGTGGTCTGAAGAGCAGTATGTGTCTCAGGGAGTACTTCCCCCATTTAAAAAAAAAAAAAAAAAACCAACCAACAGAAAAGGTGTTCTTTGTAGGGGATTCCTCCTAGGTTATAAAAATATCTGTAGATAAAGATATAGATATGTGGTGACAAACTTCCTAGTTCCAAGGAGTGAACTCCAAGAAATCAGACTCTTCTGATAACCAAGGGATAATGCAGAATCACTTTGCCTGGATCCATATCACAGTAAAAATGAACAGCAAGAAATTAATACATTGCATATGGTGGTTGACAGTCGTGGGGAGAGATCCCTTCTTCCTCTGTTTGCCTAATTTTCTTCTAGATTTTCCTGTCAGTTATTAACAGGTTAGATTCTTGCCTCATTCAGTCTTCATGTAGACCTAGAATTGATGATCAACATCAAACAGTTTTGACTGACTGTTTAATGTAAAACTAGAAAAAAAAGTCAACAGGTGTTTGTGTGTGTTCAACAGGGTGGCAAGAAATATGTTTGTTTACACTGCTTATACACCAAAATACAATATGTGAGATATGGATTATGATCTACTTATCAGCAAGTAAGAAAATGTGAGTGGTATAGGAACATAAAAATGTCTGTCCTAGGATTGCCTCACAAAGTATTTTACTTGTTTTAATTTAAAACAACAAGAAGGTATTTTTCCCTCTTCTCATCCAACTAGGTAAATAATTACCTCTGTTTTCTTTCCAAGTATTGTATGGAAGGCAATATCGTAAACATCAGAGGATGACGTCTTGACTCACCTCCAGATGCAATGAGTTAAGTAATTTGGAAGACAGAAGTCCTGATATTGAATCAATAGCCATTCATACCACTTAGGAACAAAATCACAGGTGTATGGAAATAAATGAACCTCTTATTTAGAGCCCTCTTCCAATGCCCTAGTGAGAGGGAAAGTTGTTCTTCATTGGAGAAGATTATGTACATTTCCTTAATCTTATTCCTATAAGTGAGTTACTGAAAGCATTCAGATTCAAAGGCATTTGCCTCTAATAGAATTGTGATAACCTGACCACAAGTAGGAGTTTCATTCATAACATCCAAAACCATAAACCGAGTTCTGTGAATCGTAGATAGAGACATCCATTCGTTGCCTTTTCAATAGAGTACTACTTGGAAGTGCATTTTAACCTTTTTTTCTCTTTACTTGGTTTCCTTAGATTCAAAAGGTTGTTTCTACCAAAGTTTCTAAATAACTTTGTATACATATATATCTTCAGGGTGGTTGATTGAGATGTGGGTATTGGAGAAAAGTAGATCAGGAAACGATTTCTTACTTAGAATTCTGCATGACCTTGTATTAGGAAGAAATGGTGGTTCTAACCATTGTGAGTAACTTACCCAATGTTGATTTTAAACCTTCTGTAAAAGGGTGAGTTTTTAAAGGGAAACAGGCAGAAAAGCATCTATCTTGAAATAATTCTAGCTTTCTTTTTCTTTTTTCCTCAAAAGTTACCAATGACAACTTCAATTTCTATTGTCCATAGAAATATGATGTTGGCACATTCAAAATGAAGACACAGAACAGCAAAGTCCAAACCGTGAAGGTCTGGTGTTAACCTACCTCTCCACTTTCTGTAATGTTTTTCTGTCTTTTCCATCTTAGATGCTCCCCTTTCTTCATGCTTTAGTCATTCCTGCTTTCAAGTTCTTTCTCTTTATGCCACAATCAAGATCTCAGTAAAGTTCTGTCCTGTCATTATATTTACAACATTTTTAAGGCATGGTAGTTTCTAAATAACTTTGTATACATATATATCTTCAGGGTGGTTGATTGAGATGTGGGTGTTGGAGAAAAGTAGATCAGGAAACGATTTCTTACTTAGAATTCTGCATGACCTTGTATTAGGAAGGAATGGTAGTTCTAACCATTGTGAGTAACTTACCCAATGTTGATTTTAAACCTTCAGTAAAAGGGTGAGTTTTTAAAGGGAAACAGGCAGAAAAGCATCTATCTTGAAATAATTCTAGCTTTCTTTTTCCTTTTTCCTCAAAAGTTACCAATGACAACTTCAATTTCTATTGTCCATAGAAATATGATGTTGGCACATTCAAAATGAAGACACAGAACAGCAAAGTCCAAACCGTGAAGGTCTGGTGTTAACCTACCTCTCCACTTTCTGTAATGTTTTTCTGTCTTTTCCATCTTAGATGCTCCCCTTTCTTCATGCTTTAGTCATTCCTGCTTTCAAGTTCTTTCTCTTTATGCCACAATCAAGATCTCAGTAAAGTTCTGTCCTGTCATTATATTTACAACATTTTTAAGGCATGGCGTTACTTTTCTCAGAGGTTTTTGTACATAAGAAACCTTTTAATAGTCATTGATCAGGTGACTTTGTATCCCAAAGGGAGTGTTCTTAAGGCCTGTGCCTTCTTATTTTATAATTTATATTTTAAATGTATAACATAATCTTAAGTATAAGGCTTAATCATGAAGTCAGCCTAGACCTTGCTTGGGGAGATATTGGCTGATTATGATAAAGGACAGGGGCAGTGGGTATCATTTTTTTCTTGTCTCTTTAAGATGCTGTTCTCTGACCATTGGACTCAATGTAATAGTACTATAAACATGTTAGTTGTTGTTAAGTCACTAAATCATGTCTGATTCTTTGAGATGCCATG